GTCAGGATGAATGGAGGATTTGTCTCTTCTGATTCCAGTTTTTGAAGGGATTTTAGAGGAAATTAAAATATTTTTTAAATGAGATTTCTCTTAAAAAATGCAATTTTCATGGCAGATTTCAGATCAGGACGAATGGAGGATTTGTCTCTTCTGATTTCAATTTTTGAAAGGATTTTAGAGGAAATTTGAATATTTTTCAAATGAGATTTCTCCTAAAAAATTGTAATTTTTATGGGAGATTCAGGTCAGGATGAATGGAGGATTTGTGTCCTTGGGCTTCTGTTTTTGGGGGGATTTTAGAGAAAATTTCAATATTTTTCAAATGAGATTTCTCTTAAAAAATGTAATTTTTATGGGAGATTCAGGTCAGGACGAATGGAGGATTTGTCTCTTCTGATTCCAATTTTTGAAAGGATTTTAGAGGAAATTTCAGTATTTTTTTGAATGAGATTTTTTTTAAAAAAATGCAATTTTTATGGTAGATTTCAGGTCAGGATGAATGGAGGATTTGTCTCTTCTGATTTCAATTTCTGGGATGATTTTAGAGAAAAATTCAATTTTTTTAAATGAAATTCCTCTCCAAAATTCCAATTTCATGGCAAATTCCCTTAAAGGATCAAACAGGACGAATCCAATTAAAAAATTCTCATTTTCCCTGCATATTTCAATGGAGAAAAAAAAAAAGCAGAATTTTTGAATTTTTTAACACCCCAATTTTTTTATTTTCACCCCCACCCTGCACTTACTTTCCTCATCAATTTTTAATTCCTCGTTATTTTTGATTTTCTCTGCAATTTCCTTCTCATTGAAGCCTTTGCTTGCCAAGAATTTTATTTTATATTCATCCCATGACACGTGACCTGCAATTAAAGAGAATATTTCAGGATGGAATGATGAATTCTGGAATGATTTCAAAAAAATAATAAAAAAAAAAAAATTATTAAATTCATAGAAAGAGAAAAATTCGTGGAAAGAGAAAAATTAATATTAATATATAAAATAATATAAATTAAATAAATAAATATAAATATAAATATAAATATAAATAAATATAAAAAGTCATGTAAATATATAAATTAATATAAAATTCATGTGAATATATAAATTCATATTAATATATAAATTAACATATAAATTAATACTAATATATAAATTAATATGAATGTAAAATAAATATAAATAGAAAAATTAACATTAATATATGAATATTATCTATAAATAATACTAATATATAAATTAATATATAAAAATTAATATCTAAAAATAATATGAATATAAAATTAATATAAATAGAAAAGTTAATATTCTATATAAATATCAATATAAAAATTAATATTAATATAAAGTAACATTACTATAAAAATTAACATTAATATAGAAATTGATATAAATATATAAATTAATATCAATATATAAATTAATATCAATATATAAATTAATATCAATATATAAATTGATATCAATATAGAAATTAATATTAACATATACATCAATAAATAAATTTTCATTTTTTTAATTTTTAAATCCTATTTTTAAGCCCAGCATCCCTGAATTTCAGGACTGACAAAAACCTGTCACCTGATTAATATCTGAATTTTTTTTTTTTTATAAAACCCCCAAAGGTTTTGGGGAAAATTTTGTTTTTTTTCTTTTTTTTTTTTGCTTTTTGATGAACCAAACCACATCCTTTCCCCACAAAAATCAAAATATGCCATTCCCAACTCAACTTTTAGCAAAGAATTGAGTGAAAAATCTTTTTTTTTTAAAGGAAAAAAAATGGATTTTACCATCCCCATCGGGATCCACAGCTTTAAAATGAATTTTATTTTCCTCCACGGCCTCCTGGAAATGCTCATCAGTTTTTTCCATGATCCAACGTTGCATTTCCTTGGCACTGATTTTTTTATCTTTATTTATATCCACCCTAAAGAGAGAGAAGAAAAAAAAAAATAAATAAATTAAAAATAAGATTTAAATTTTGAGTTTAGGAAAAGAGGAAAAAAAAATCTGGGATTTTGGCGAAAAAAAAAAAAACAGAAAAAAAAGAATTTTTTTTTTTTAATTTCTGGGAGAACCAATTGGTAACTCGGCCTTGATTTGAGAATTAAATGGAAATAATTTAATTAAATTGAGAAATATTCAGGTTATTATTCAGTGATCAGATTTCATTTCATTTCCATTTCAAATTCTAATTAAAATATCATTAAAAATGAGATTTAATTTCATCACCATTTCAAATTCTATTTCAAATATCATTAAAATCAGATTTAATTTTATCACCATTTCAAATTCTAATTAAAACATCTCAAACCCACTTTTTATAATACAAAATATCACTAAAAATGAGATTTAATTTAATTTCCATTTCAAATTCTATTTAAACCATCTCAAATCCACTTTTGATAATTCAAAATATCATTAAAAAAATCTGATTTCATTTCATCACCATTTCAAATTCTATTTAAAATATCATTAAAAATGAGATTTATCACCATTTCAAATTCTATTCAAACCATTTCAAATCCACTCTTGGTAATTTAAAATATCATTAAAATCACATTTATTTTTATCACCATTTCAAATTCTATTTAGAGCAGATCCAACCCACTTTTTATAATTCAAAATATCACTGAAAATCAGATTTCATTTCATTTCCATTTCAAATTCTATTTAAACCATTTCAAATCCACTTTTTATAATTTAAAAAATCACTAAAAATGAGATTTAATTTCATTTCCATTTCAAATTCTATTTAATCCATCTCTAAAATACTTTTTATAATTCAAAATATCATTTAAAAAATCAGATTTAATTTTATCACCATTTCAAATTCTATTTAAAATATCATTAAAAATGAGATTTATCACTATTTCAAATTCTATTTAAACCATTTCAAATCCACTTTTTATAATTTAAAAAATCATTAAAAATCAGATTTAATTTCATTTCCATTTCAAATTCTATTTAATCCATTTCAAATCCACTTTTTATAATTCAAAATATCACTGAAAAATCAGATTTCATTTCATCACCATTTCAAATTCTATTTAAAATATCACAAAAAAAAGATTTAATTTCATTTCCATTTCAAATTCCATTTAAAACACCTCTGACCTATTTTTTATAATTCAAAACATCATTAAAAAATCAGATTTCATTTCATTAGCATTTCAAATTCTATTTAATCCATCTCAAATCCACTTTTTATAATTCAAAATATCACTGAAAAATCAGATTTCATTTCATCACCATTTCAAATTCTATTTAAAATATCACAAAAAAAGAGATTTAATTTCATTTCCATTTCAAATTCTA